CAAGGGGCACCACGTCCTGCGACCGTCTCCTCGGCGGGGCCTGGCAGGGGCCGGCGCAGGGCAGCAGGGCCTCGGCGGTGCTGCGACCACCCGGGGGCCTCCCCCTGCTCGTCCTCCTTCTCCCTGGACCAGCTGCAGAGTGTCAGCGGAAAGGCCGGGAAGAGGGGGGCTGAGGCCGGGGCTTGGCCCAAGGCCTGCGAGAGCAGCAGCAGCCTGCAGGACCGGGTGCAGACCGTCACCGAGGGGTGCAGCGGTGAGGATGACAACGGGCAGGCGGAAAACCTTTACCCTGATGGCCACTACCAGCGGAGGCCAAGAAGTGGCGCATCCCCCCAGAGGCTCCGCGGTCTGGGTGACGAGAAGTACGATTTTATCCCTGAAAAGGAGAAGACAGCGAGTGCCCTGACGCTGTGCAGATGCCAGGAGGAGCAGGACACGAAGGTGAGGCAGCTGCCGGCCTCTGAGGTTTGGGATGAGGTGAGAAGGCAGGAGAAGAAACTCAGATCCAGACGGGAGGAGAGGCAACAGCTGATGGCGGAAAACCTGAAGAGATGGCAGAGAGACCAGGATCAAAGGAAGGCCAAACGCAGGCTGGATGAGAAACGACTCTTGGAGGCCAGGCAGAAAGAAATGATGTTGCGAGAGAATAAATGGAAGAGACTGGCGCAGGAGGAAGAAACCAAGCGCAAGGCAAAACTTGAAAGATCAAAGCTGCAAGCTGAGTACAGGAAATATTGTCAAGAAAAGCAGCTAAGAGAGAAAAAGATCCTGGAGCAGGATACTAGAGACTTGAAGTATAATCTGCTCCGAGACAAAATGTCACGGGCTTGTGAGAAAAGGCTTTCAAAAGAAATTGAAAGGAAGAAGAAGAGACAAGAGTTGAACCAGTATGAAATGACAAGACACAGACGCCTGAAAGATCAAGTTGATCACCAAGTCAAAGCTGATGAACTTTGCAAGAGACACGCTATAGAGCAAAAACTTCAAAGATCTAAAGAAATCCTTGATCAGCTGATGGAGGAAAGGAATAGGGAATCAAAACAAAAAGCTCTAAAGGAAGAAAAACGAAGTGTTATGGCCAAATTTAGAGCAAAAGAGACAGAGGAAGAAAGGAGAAGACGTAAAAGTATGTTGCTGCAAATAGCTGAGATGAAAATTCAGCAAGCTCAAGAAATGCTGGCCAAAACTATCCAACAGAAAGTACAACGCAGCAAGCAAATTAACTGCTTAAAAGAAAGAAACCATCACTCTCAAAGGCAAAAAATTGAAGATGATGAAAAATGTCGACTACAGGAAATAGAAGAAGCCATTAGAAGGCGAGATCAGAAGAGTGATCAAATATTAAGAGATAAGGAATCTGCTTCAGGAAAAGCTAGAAGAATACCCACAACATCTTATGGCCTGGGACAAAAAGTAAGAGAACTGATGAATAGCCGTGCATATGACTAGATGGCTTTAGATGACTGTTACAATGCAGGTATTCTTAAAACTTTAAAGAAAGATTGCAACCATTTATGTGCCAAAAAGATGATTTGTAGTTTATTCATTCTGTGATTTGGCAAGAGCTCTGGATCGTATTACACTACAACGGTTTCACCTTAACCTTGCTGCATCTCATAAATGCACTGCTCATTTTTGTCAGCACCCTGAGAGCACCAGGAGGTCTTAATGGCCCTGGCCTGGCACACCTGCAGCTCCCCATCCACCTCCCCTGCCCAAGGGCTCAGGGGCTCCCTTTCAGCTCAGCCCTATTTCCAAGGCTGGCTACACCTCGAGCTGCAAATGTCAGAATGGTTCTAGTTGTTCTCTCTACATGAAAGGTACTTGGAGTGTACCTGGGATCTTTTAGTTGAAATTACGCGTATCTGTGACCATCTAAAGTGACCCATCTGTGCATTCACTGGAGTCTTACAAATTGGTATGGAAACTATATGGTGAAATTGTGGAATCAGACATTTATTCAAATGAACTAAAATAAGATTGCACTTTTACTTGTTTAAATTCAGATGCACTCTTTTGGCTCAGTAGGAGGTTCTTAGCTAGAACAAAACATTTTTTCAACAAAATAAACTGAATGCTGAAATAGCAAGGATTGACAGTGATGCAGCTGGACATGACTGGCTGCTGTTCAGAGTCTGATCATTCTCTTACCTATGCTATCTGGAATTTTTAGATCAGTTTTGCAGACAGTTTTCACTGATTTTTCTCAAAAACATGCTTTTAAGGTTTACTGTGAAACTGCTGTATGATATAATGTCCAAAGCTTTACCAAAGAGAAATTGTATGGCATCCTCTACTGCCTATTCTAAAGACCTATTCTTTCATATGTGATAGTGTAGAAGGAAATTACTCTGATTTGATGCAATTTCTTTCTGATGAAACAATGACTTCTTTGAGTTATGAGTTTCTGGGTGCTAACCATCAGTTTCTAACACTAACAGTATTTTCCCTGTTGATGAAGTTAAGCAGATTGCAATCCATATCTCTCCCCTTTCCTGTCTCCCAAAGATAGGTGCTACATAGTCTCTTTCCCAGTCTTTTGAAATATCATTTATCCTCAGTGTGTTCTGCCACTAATGGCTCTGCAGTTATTCCAGCCAATTTCACTACAGGTTGAAGATGACCCAACTTGTCAAAAATTATCTGAATAGTCTCTAACCTGTTCTTTTTTTCGTCTTTCCCTGACACACTCTGCTCCCCCTTCTCTGGACTTTTCAAGCACTGTACTAATTTGGATACAGTTTTACTTAAATCAGTAAAAACCCTAGTTTGAGGTTGACAGTCCCTATAAATGACTACCTTAATGAAGTCATCACTTGTCAGACTTTTGCTCCCAAGCTTGTATTTACACAGCTGAACATAAAAGGAGAAAAACATGGTAAGATGCTGTAAATAACATCTAAATTACAAAAAAAAAAAAGTTGGAAATGTCTGTTTCTGATTATCTTATTCTTGTGTTATTCAGTTAATAGATTAATGCAAGAATAATATTGTAAAAGATCCCAGACAAGAAAGTAATTAAATGGAACCAAGAATATAAAACATATCAGGTATTTTAAAATAAAGGCTGATTATATACTTTGACCTTCTAGAATCTGACAGTGGATTATTTGATTTTTATATCAGAGTCTTGTAAGCACTTGTGTGGTCTTATGCTGTGCTTAAGAATGATAAGTCTTTTTAATAGAAACACTGAAAGGAAACCACTGAAACTACACTTCACTGTTTTGCATGACATTCCCATGAATTTATAAATCATAATGAAATATATAAATTAAAAATATATAATGAAAATAAATGTAAAATATATTTAATGAAGTTGCACTAAATAACTTGAGGTAGTTCAGAAATGAACAGGTTGCTTGTTTATATATCCAATAAATAGATCTCTCTCACAAGTGATTCTTGCCCCTCATTAATTTTTGCTCTTTTGAAGAGAATGAATCACTTATATCTGTCATACAGGTGTGCTCAGTTTTTGCCTTAGTTATGCAACATATACTACTAAGTCAGAATTACTATAACATAAAAACATTCTCAAGCTCTTTCTCAAACTAAAATAGTTAGACTTCCTAAAACAAAAATACGATTATCTTTAATCCAATATGTAGCTAGCTAGTACACACTCTGAAGTGAAATTTAGTTTTATAAAACTGTTGGGTCAGTGAATCAAATCATTCATTGCAATGACATTTTCTCATTATATAATTTATGTTGGCTTTCAGTAAATTGTTATATTTTGCGTTTAACTTTCACTTATAAAAGTTGAATTACTATAACATTCACAGCATGCTAAATATAAAATCCAAGCAATGCCTGTGGTGTAGAACTTTGAATAATTAAGAAAAACAAGAAAGATTGCTTTTTGCAGGGGGATGAGGAGGAAATCCTGTTCATTTCACTGACAAAAATATACTCTAGTATATTCTAAAGGCTACAACATAGTCCTATTTGTTTCAAACTGTTTTCAGTCTGTAGTTATGTTGTTGAATACCCCGTTGGTCAATAAAGTAGGATAAGTAGCAATGTCATCTGGTAAAATCTAGAAAAAAGGAAGAGTGAAACATAGTGGCATTAGGCTCTACACCTTTATAAGGTCCAAGGAAGAGCAGCTGAGCGTTCCCAATTCTTTCAGCTGATGTGAACTATACAAATAACAAATGATGAAGAGGGAATAGACCGAGTTTGAGGACAAGCATTGATCTGAATATCATCAGAGATCTTTGGTGGCTTCTACCCTGTGGAACCAAGGCTGGATTTTCCTAGGCAGGTGGTTCAAAAAAAAAATGTCTCTGCTAGAAAAAGTATTTTATTTGAGCAAGACAGAGAAATTTAGCAGCTGATAGAGCCTGGCCCTTTCACAGCTGCTGATGAAACATACTATTAAATAAGTCTTTTTTAAGAGAGGGTGTGAAATTTCCTAGCTTCAGGCTGCAGTCCAACAAGGCAAAAGCACTTCTTGCCAGAAAATAAAGTAAAAATGTATTTCACCAGAATAAATAAACTATGATTTGAAAACTTGTTTCCACTGAAAATGTAAATAGGTTGTAGAAGCGAGATATCCTGTCTAGTACTACATTAGAACCTTACAGTTAGGAACATGCCTGCTCCTGATAGAATTAAGGAATCTAATCTGTAAATGATAATAGCAAGATATTTATACACTTAGAAATCAACAATATTTTCTGCGCTGCTTTAGAATACAATACAAGTCATCTGCAGGAAGATTTTTGGTTAAACTTTCCTACTTTCAGCCGGAATTAGATAGGATAATACAGATGCTTCTAACTTTGCTGCACTGGCTCTCTAGTGAGGCACAGGCAACCGACTCATGAGCTGCTTTTTACCCACTTAATGTGCATGGTAACACTGGAAACTCACTCCAGGCTCAATTAGGGGCATTTTAGCACAATGTGATTCATAGTATTTCATGATAAACAAGCTTAGCATTGTAACTGAAATTGCTCTTACCTTTCAAAGAAAAGATGTTGTTATCTCTTTTTGACCTGAGCAGGTAGCTAAGAGTCTGGGGTTTGTCAGTTATTTCAAACAGAGTTATTTGAAATTTCACACCCTCTCTTAAAAAAAATAAAATAAAAATAACGATATGTTTCAGCAGTGGCTACAAGAGGGCCAGGCTCTATCAGCTGCTAATATATTTATGTATTAGCTGCCAAATATTTCAACTGGCAGAGTCTAGCATATCTTAGATACAAATGAGTTTATTATGCCGAAAGTCACCTTCCCTGAATGCAAGAGAAATTAAACAGCAAGGCCGAGTTTCTTAGCACATAGGTCAGCACCACTTTCTGACCAACACTTAGACCAAAAATTCTCTCTCCATTTTCACCTCTGCTCGTCTGTAATTGCCCCTTGTAGATTCTTTTCCCAGCTATTTGATTTGTTTTGCATCCCACAGATCTGAAAATCATCATATAACAAAACCCTTTCAGTGTCTTTGTTTTAGGTGGAAGCTGTTTTCATTTCAGCTCTCTTATTCCTTACAGGTGCTTAATCATTTCTTACCTTTATCCCTCACAAAGAGCTATTGTTAAAACCAGAAGCTTTTAATGTAGTTTAGCCAGCTACAATATCTGGATTTTGAGGTCTTGGCAACACTGATGTCATGTACGGCCTCCTGTCCCAACACTTATCTTCAGTAAAAGGCAAATAAAGGTAAATTATCCTGGTCTTTGGAGATAAGAAACAGAAACATAATAGCACTCATTTTCTTAGTTCTTCAACTTCACAGTGGTCTAATGATAAAAAAAGACTTGCCTCATGATGGTCGTGAGAACACAGCACTGCTGGATGATATGGGTGCTGAAGAAAAGCACAGGCAAGCATACCAAATCACACCATCCTGGAAAATTCCTCAGTGGTTGAATATAATAAAATACACAACAAATAATAGTATAGATTCATGCTTAGCAAAACCTTGAAATGTGGTATTACATTTCTTTCAAGATGCTTTGCTGAAATAGTGTTTTCTTTGTTCTGTAATAGAACACTTGTTTGCCTAATTGGCCTCATCTGAGAAGAGAACCTAATACATTTTACAGTTTTGAACTGCTACAAACAGACATCAGTGTAGATGTCTGTGAGTATGCCTGCACTACCGGTGGATATCCTGAAGCCTTGATCTTAAAATGAACTCTACACAGATTCTCCTGTAAGGATGATCCCTGTATAGTCAAAGCCAAAATTCAAAGTAGCTACCAATTGTTTTGAATTTTTTGACAAATGCTGCAACTCTTAACTCAGTCTTGGCACAGTCAATCTGAACACCTGGAAATAGAACATTTACAAATCACCATTTGGAAGCATTCACTTCCAGTAGTCAACAAGCAAGCTTTTTTTTTTTTTAACTGTGATATGTAATATTTACAAAAAATATTTTAAAATATAAAGTA